GCCCTTCACACCCACGCGACCTTCCCAAGCCCGCAGGTTTAGCGCAGTTCTAGTCCTATAAGCTTGTTCTCATCTTAACCAGCTAGGATTAGCGGGTTTTTCTTCCTGACTGAAAGCTGGTACTAAGAACAACAAACAATTGCTGTGCCTATCTAGGAAAAAATAACCATTGATTTCTTTATAAGCATTTACATAGAAACATCCTTTATATCAAGTATTCTTACGTTTAAACTACTTGGACATCTCCCCTGGATTCCATGATTTTAATCCTGAGTCAGTTTTCCAGAACAGTGACAGTCCTATCAAAGTAACTATTCAATCATTCCAGATTTATGTATTTAGTGTTAACGTTCTTGCCGCCGTGTATACCTGACCTCAAAATACACCAACCAAATGTTTGATTTGGTTGCTCTGTGTAAAGACTGCTTATCTTCATACTAACTGCATTCACTTAGGGACAGGTTAACTTCATGAGTGGTTTTACTGAAATGATCAACTTGAAGTTGCTGAAAAATGTCCATCTGCTAAGTACCTTGTGATGTTTTGCTATTTCTTTATAAAACTTGAATCGTAAAGTGCAATGACATCTCATATTATCGGGACATTAGTCTTCTTCCAATTTCGGATTTCTTGAACCATGCTCAGAAACCAGTAGCGATCCCCCAAAGCATCTGAGAATCTCCAAACTTTCATTTGAATCTGCATACCTGATCCCTATCTCAGGCTTTACAATTTTTCACTAACAAGCAAAACAAATGGAGACACAAACTTTCTCACCAGGAAATTAGAAATAAACTGGAGAAAAAATTTTAGAGAGAGGCTCAGTGACAAAATTCATTAAATATCACAGCCTGAAATTGGAGAAGGAGAAAAATAAAATCAGATAAAGCTCTTTGCAGAGAGAATATCATGGGATGTTAGGTCAGATGATCCTCAAAAATCAGGAAAATAAATTATATTTAATGTTTCTCATACATTAAACATCTCAAACATATAAATGTTTCTCATACAAACCAGCTTGGGGTCTTGTGAGAATGTGGATGTTTGTTTAGTAGACCTGGGGGCGGGAGCAAGAGTCTACATTTCTAAGAAGCTAATGTTAGAATGTCATATTTCTTTCCAGTTAATACTGGTAGTTTTTCTGGCAAGGGTATAGAAGGCATCGATTTCCAATAATGTCAGAGAAATGAGATGTTCCTGCATTTGCTCTCAAGTACTTTTTGAAACCTGAAATTAAGACATACTACTTATATAAGTTGGCAAATTTATGTTACATACAATTCATTCACTTTGGAAATAAGGAAACATTATAATCAGCTGTTTTTAAACTATGAAACATGAGAGAGGAATTAATAATAGTGCATTATTCAATCTCTTTCAACCATATAATAAGCATGCATGAGAGAATTTTATTGAAATCCGAACTTGCTCAATACTGTGCAAAATTTGAGGTGAACTATAGCTATATCCTACGAAGTCCTATTCAGTAAAATTCCGAATTATCTTCAATTATAGTGCAATCCTTTTAACATCTGGAGAGTATGCAGCACACAAGGCAAGTTTCTGGGATTTTTTTTGTTTTGGAAAGGAGACATGGTTTTCATTTCTGTGAATGGTGAAACGCTGTGCTTTGTTTAGTGGTGAGAAATCTTGACTGTGTTCTTTGATAATGATTACCTGGGCATTTTTTTCTTTATCTGGTTCTGCACTTTATGCACATAGATATTACCATTCTTAAAATAGTCTATAAAGAAACTGGAGCTGGAGAAGTGAAATACCATAATAGACTTGAAGCTATAGATTTATACCCTTCCTAGGCATTTTACATGTTACCTAAATTCTTGACCCTGCCAAATTCCTTTATGAAATGTTCATGTCCAATGACATTAATGTGAGACATCTCTGATCTTACTACGTCTTCCATATTGAAATTGCAGTTCTAGATGCATTCTTCCTATTTGATCTTTTTCCACCTCAGTAAACTTTTGATGAGGGGGAGATTTCTGTGGAGAATTTATTTGGAGAATTCCAAATCATTATTCATTTCAGATGGCGAAACTCAATTATACTATGTTTGGTGTGGATACAGTGTTCATAAAGTGTGTGTGCAAAGGGGTTGGGAGTGAGGGAAAACCGCGGATGATATTTATAAAAGAGATAGGACCTCGAGCGTTCCTTAAAAGGTCAACAGATACATATGTAAAATTTTGAAAAACTTTGTATCGGACAATAAGGAAAAGAGGTTCATGATTCCTAATAATTTACGGAAGATTCCCACATTTGCTATCACTTTGTAATTCTATTATTCTTTTAAAAAATCAGTATGGTGTAGACAGCAGCTGTATAAACCCATTACCTGTAAAATCCTCTAATATAAATTTTTTTCCCATTTTTTAATGAAAAGAAAATTCGCATGTACCAAAAAAAGTTCTGTGAAGGTGGAGATGAAGAGTCATCTATGTTAATCAACAGAATATAAATGATGACTTAGTAAATTATTTCTTGTTTATTATAATGAAAAAAAAATTCAAGACCCAACAAAACAGCTAAGTGATGCATTTAAGTCAGATGTTATTTAGTGAATTGAGAGTCTGTTCAAAAAAGATTTTCCCGGAAGAACAATTCACTGATACAAATGTGAGTGAGTGCAAATTTGTCTTTTTTTTTTTTTAAAGTTTAAAGCATATTTTCCAAAGTTTTCGCTTGTGTGCATGATATAAATCCCATACGTCATTTTGTCAGCGACAATAAAAAGCGCAGTTCATTAAAAACTGAAGTAAAAATCAAAGTAACTTCTTAGAAAACCCCAGTCACAGTTTTGTCATTGGTATATGCAGGCTGTTCCAGGGGCCCATCCAGAGCTCCTCGTCGTCTGAGTGCGTGTGGTCGCTGTGGACTTCCAGAGGGTCCCTGACGTTCTTACTGTCGGCCTCCTGTTCAACTGTGCTTTTCAGCCTGGGGCCCAGCGGCCTCCCTGCTGAGCTGTCGGTCCCCACGGGGCAAGGGGCGAACGTGACAAGAGTGGGCCTTGTGTTCATCTTCTCGGTGGAAAACGGGCCCTTGGACAACGTGTTCAGGGGGACATTCTCCTCCTGTGTCACTGCCAACTTGTCGAGTTTCTTAAAGTGCCTCCCCAGGCGCACGGGGGAAGTGGCTTTTAAGGTATCAGCGAGGCAGGCCCGGCGGGTTCGCAGCACGGAACCGTTCTGTGCGATATAGATATTGCCATTGATGTTGCTGTGCGGGCCGCGAGGGTGCACACGGTTCCTCTGACACTCTGGGGCGCTGTCTTCTCCAGTGGAGCTGGCCTCATACTCGCGGTCCACGACCAGCTTGATCATCCGTCTCCTGGCCCACTGCTGGGAGAAAAGACAAAGAGTCACTGTCACAGGAATCAGAGGGGCAAAGGTTACAAGGCTTGTGAAATTCAACACCCGTGATGCAAAGCTGTCGGAGGTAAAGGACTGGAGAGAGGTAGGAAGAAACTACTGTCCATTCGTGGCCCAGCCCACGGCTGGTAGGGCATCCCTTCTCAGAGTCAAGTGGGGCTCCCTTAAGGAGCTGACTTTGCAGATGCACTTGTGTTGTTGTAGATCAAGTTACTGCTCTCTGTGAAAAACAGGCGTATTGTTTGTATCGGAGTGAGGATCTCATCCACTGTTGGACAGTGGCTACACATTTCAGGGAGGTCAGCTTAGAAGGCAGGCACAGCATTAGTATAGCCTGTTCGTAAAATCCTTCTTGTCCCCAAATCTTAAAGATATTTTTTAAACCTGCATTGTTCTAATTCCTAATTAATCCTGTTAGCCAAATGAGAAGCATCCTAGTGTTCTGGATACTTCATTTAAATATATTTAAATATATTTCATTTAATATATATGTTCTGTATATTCCACTTAGATGTATGTTAACTTGAACGAAAATATCTTCCCATCCTGAATAATTTACCCAGCAATACACAAAACAGTAAACAAATTATTGTGAACTTTCCTCTAGTAAGCAACTGGAACACATGAACGTTTCTACATTTTTCTTTCACCAGTCCACATCAGGAACGACAAGGAGTGAAGGGTAGCCAGTACTAAATAGTTTCACGTTTTCAGAATATGTGAACCACCAACATGTTGCAGTAAGTAAGCCACACTTTTTGGATTTCCAGGTATATCTTGCAAAGTTATTATGTTTACTTACCCAGAAGAATGTTTTGTGAAAATTCAATTCCTTTTTTCCTAAATCTTTAACCCCTACCCACAATGAAAAAGAAATGGTATATACTTCATTTTTAAACTTAATTTCATTTAGCTTCTAGTATTTCCAAGCGCCAGCTACAAACCTGTTTGAACATGTGTGGGATTTTTTTTTTTTTAAGTTTACTTGTTTTGAGAGAGAGCGAGAAAGAGAGAGCGCACATGCAAGTGGGAGAAGGGCAAAGAGAGAATCCCAGGCAGGCTCTGTGCTGTCAGCACAGAGCCTGACGCGGGGCTCAGCCTGGTGAACTGTGAGATCGTGACCGGAACTGAAATCAAGAGTCGGACATTTACGCCCCTGTGTGGTATTTTATATACTACTTTTGGCCAGTTGAAATGTACACATTGACAAAAGTGGACTTTTAGAGCTGTCACTGTTGCAAGTTGTGTCCTGATTTTACGGTCTGCAGTTGAGCCGAAACCCCCGTATGGATTCATGAAGCCACGCGGCCAGGCCGGGCGTCCCTGGTGAGCCGTGATGCCAGATGCATGCCCAGGAGCCCCGCTAGGAAGTATTAAATATGGATTAGTCGCTTGTCTTCCACGACCCAGAAGAGAGGGGAGTCCGTGTCCCCTGACACCCTCTAACGCACACGTACGCGTGGACAGCGTGGGCTGCCCTTTTCGGGCATGCCAGTGTCAGGTCACACAGAGAGGAGGCCCACGACCTCCCTGCAGGCATCACCCCAGAGAGCACACAGAGGGCACAGCACACAGAGCAAGGAGCACCACACACTCCCACCTGTCCTGCTCTCAGAGGGCCGTGTCGTAGCCCTCGGAGCCTCCCGGATGCCTGTCCCGGCGCGCGTCCCTGCTGCTGTCCTGCTCTGGCACCTGGAAGCCCCAGGGCCCTCCAGACTGGCTCTCGCTGCTGCTGCTGCTGCTAACACTACTGGCCGGCTCTGACTCCTCCTCGCTGGCCGAGCCCTCTTCCCCCGAGGCCGCCTCTGCGCTCCCCTCCTCGGTGACCTCCAGGCCTGCCGGCTCGTCCACGGAGGCCAGCTCGCTCTCCCCTCCTGCTGCTGGCCCTCCCTCCTCCTCCTCCTCCCTGGGCGGCTCCTCAGGCTCTTCAGGGGGCTCCCGTTTCCTGCCTTTGACCTCCTTGACCTCCTCAACAACCGGCCTTCTTCTGGCCAGAAAGATGTTCTTCCTGGCCTTCTCTCCTTCTGACTCTGTGGACTCCGACTCTTCGGATTCAGGGGTAGAGCTCTCTTCCTCCTCCTCCGAGGGCGTCTCCGACTCAGACTCCTCTTCCGTGGTCTCCGACTCGCTGAACTCCGACTCCTCTTCGCTGTACTCTGTGTAGTCGCTCGAGGATTCTTCCTCTGACTCCACCGTGCTCTCTGTGGCCTCGTCTTGGTCCAGGGTGAGCTTCAGATAATCCTTGTCTGCTTCCTCAAGGCGTCGCTGCCACTCTTCACTCTCGAGGTCCACGACGCCCCTCCTCTCGGCCAGCCCTCTAACTTTCCTGAAGATCATCGGGAATATCCTGGCCCTCTTCCACGTGGTGCAGGGAGGCTCGGCCAGCGGTGGCTTCTCGATGGTGACAACCACTTCCTCCTCCTCACTAGGCTCTCTGACTTCAACTTTAGGTTTTTTAATTTTCTTTGCCTTTTCCTGAAAATCACGAAAATGCAAGTGAAGTGTCAGCTGGGGGACGGTTACCAGGTGACCTTGTCCCACACAAGTTGGGCAGGGATGAACCTGCAGGTTGTAACTACTTGTAGAGAATGAGCAGGCGGCTCTCCACCGTTCACCCCACTGCATCCAGGCACAGGGTGATCACAAAAAAGTATTTTATTTTGGCTTGTACTTTGTATTACCAGAATCTAACGCTTTCACATTTCTTTTTCTTATTCAGAGTTTATTTTGCGTCTTAGATCAAAAGAGAAAGAAGTAATCGTTAACTCTTCTCTCTCCCATCCCTACACGTTGATTAAACACTTTGTGTTTTCTTAAAATTTTAAATAATCAGGAAATTATGATACTTTATCTGCCTGGTGTATGTGAAATTTGACTATTTTCTTAATTTTGAACAGGGAAAACCTTAGCAACATTTGTTTTTGTTTTTATTTTGGATAAATGTTTCAAGTAAATATTGTAGACAAGTATATAAATGACTCCTGTTAATTAAAACTAAGTGATAGAATTCCATTAAAAATATTGGTGGTAATGCTTTCCTTCTGTTTGACAACTATACTGTTTTCATGATTTTTAGATATGCTGGATAATGTGGGAACCAAAGTGACCATTGTTTTGCAAAATACTTTTTATGAATTTGATTATGTTATTTTTATGGAGTCACATTTAGGATTTTAGAAGATATAAACTTCATTGTGGCTTTATTCCAGGTGTTTAACATTTTATCATAGGAAATAAGTTAAACATACACAGTAATGAATTTCCTTCTATAAACAAGGTGATGAAATGGTCCACATAATGAAATTTCCATGAAAAACATGTACTAAGTGAATGGGAGTTCTGATTTTTGAAATATTTTGTAGCCTGCTATTCAAATAGGGTTACACATCACATTACCTCTTCCTCCTCATATTCTTCCTCGGCTTCACCAACCACCTCACCATACTCCTCTGGTCCAGCTGGCGGTAAGAGACGGCGACGGCTTCCATACTGAGGCATCTCATACCTGTAACAGAAACTTACAACTTTCAACACGTTTCTGTGTGGTCCGTGTAACCTTGACTGATCTCGGTGTTCTTCTTTGTCTTCATCACTCAATCAACAGACATCTATTTACAGCACCTATCATGCTCCTTATCAACTAGTTACTAAAAACATAGAGCAAGAACTACAACCTGATGGCCAATGGATTTTGCCATGACGGTGCCCTGGAATAACAGCAAAAAGAACCAGGTTATTTCAGATTCAGGTTAGGGGAGAGGCTAGTGTGAAGGGAACAGCATATCGTTCCTTAATGAGTTGAAGAATTTAGAACATGAAATAGGTTCTTTGTAAAACTAATAGCTTGTTCACAACATAATGTCTCTATAGTTACAGCAAAGACCTGCTTCAGACATGATCTGGAATGGTATTTACATTTTCTTTCTGTGTTTTGGGAAAGCAGTTAACATGTGTGTAGGGTGGCTTGAAATGCTTATTACTGGGTTCTAAAGTATGTTTTCTTCCTAATTTCTCTTGGGCAAGTCTTGAGGCTGACTAGTTACATCAAATATTAAACATACCCTATGAAATAAATGGTGAATTCAGGAATTGAGCAAATATGTTTGAATTCTATTCCTCATTTAAATAAGTTTGAATTATTTTACTGCTTCATTAGAGTTGTGGTCAATATCAGCATAGAACATCAAACCAGAAGTGAATGTTAAAAAAATGGATAAAACCTGATTGAAACTAAAAGTAGATACATAATTCATTTTCAAGGATGAAATGGATGAAATCACATTTGCAACACAAATGCTAGTAATATCTAATAACTCATTTTTCATAAAAATATTGATACTGGATAAAAAAAAATCTGAAGATGTACCCATGCTCATAACTGTAATAATCTTGTCCAAATTCCTGGCCAGGATCAATTCCAGACTCCATGGATAACTCCTATTGTTCAAAAAGAGAAATTGCATTTGAAAATAAATTCTTATCACATTTCATATCTTATGAATTTAGATTTCCAGACCTAGAATCCCCATGACTCTCAGAACACTCCTGCCAACAAACTTTAATGTCAAATGTTAGTTAAACATATTCAGCATTTTTTTCTGGCTCCAACTATTTGACATGAAATAAAGTTATGTCATTAGAATGGAGGGGGTAAAAAAAAATACATTTTTTCTAATGGTGAGTCTATTAGATCTATTAGGTGAATCTATTAAAGATTACAGATGAGCATTTCACTTGTTCTTGGGTAACTTTACAAACTACCAGTAGAAAATATTTCACTGTATTTTAACTTGTTTTATTAACAGACTTTAGCCTGAAGGAATTATAATGTTATCTTTAGCATTTTTTCATTTCCTAAGAACAGCTTCATAGTACCCGGAGCATTTCTATTCATTACATTTATTTTTATTAAAGGATATGATGATGATAATTTATACATTAATTCAACACAACATTAATGTGTGAGACCGCTCAGTGATGTTTACATTTTAAAACCTGCTAATTCTAAGGTGCACCTGGGTGGCTCCGTCGGTTAAGTATCCAATTCTTGATTTCTGCTCAGGTCGTGCTCTCACAGCCCATGAGATTGAGCCCTGAGTTGGGCTCTGGGCTGACAGTGAGGGGCCTGCTTGGGATTCTCTTTTCCTCTCTCCCTGCCCTTTCTCCACTTGCTCTCTCTCGAAATAAATAAGAATAAATTGAAAAAGAAAAACAAAACAACTAATTCAGTCTGCCCACAAGAATGGCTAAAACAAGCAAACATCAAGATCAGCAGTCACATGTTTTGGCAGTGACATGGAGTAGCTGGAAGTCTCACATACTTTTGGAGAGATTATAAATGTGCCAAATCCTTTGGAAAATGTTTGGCAGTAATACTAAAGTCAAATATATGCATATCCTTTGACAAAAATTCAGTATAGTTCAGTTTATATGCTGAACATAAATGAGTATAAATGTGCACCAAAATACATCACTTGTAAAAGCCAAAAACCAGAACCAAAGCAGAAGTCCATGAGATACACACACCTACCTCACACAGTCACAGAGATGAACCTCCCAAACAGAGTGATGGGCAAAAGAAACACACGATTCTATATAATGCTATTTACATAAGCTTGAAACACAGACAAACAGATATGTGTGTTAGAAGCCAGTGAAAAATTTCCAATCAGTGGTAAGAGTACCTTGGATAAACCTCACTGGCTACCGTCTTGCCACCGTGCACTACAAGTCTACATTTAAAAAGAAAGTCTGGCCATGGGTGGCAGCTGAGAGTGTTACATTAAGGAAAGCAAGCCAGACATAAAAATACACATACTGGATGGTATCATTCATACATGGAGTACAAAAATATATAAAAATAAAAAGGCAAACTCATAAAGACAAAGATTAGCAAAGTGGTTGTCAGGGGCTGGGGGAGGTGGGGAGAAGTTGGGAAAAGGGTACAGATTTTTAACTACAAGATGAGAATGGTCTGAGGATTGAATGTATAGCATGGTGACTGCAGTTGATAACTGTGTAATTGAAATTTGGTAAAAAAGATAACTGTTCTCACCAAATAGCAAATCACAACAATGTATACTTTAAATTTCTTATGGTTTTGTCAAATATACTTAAACAAAGCTGAAATTTTTTATTTATTTATTTATTTATTTATTTATTTATTTACCTAACATACTTATCTTAGGAAAAAACAAACAAGCCGGCTGAGTCACTGGCGGAAAGGAGAAATAATATCCGGGTGTTGGTATGGACAGGCTTCTAGAGAGCTAGTAGGGGGTGTGCATTTTGTAAAACTTTTTCCTGCTGTGCAGTATCACTTGCTTACTTTTATGTCTGTAGTTATATTTCAACAAAAAGTGCTCATTACAGAAAATGGTAGTGGGAAATGAGGTCAATAAGAATTGGGACACAGTTAAAGTCTAAATTTAAGTTATTCAAACTAAACACTTTAAATATAAATCTCTCTACCTATATTTTTCTTATCTGTAGGCTTGGACTTTTGACGCATCTAAAACCCAACACAATTATACTGGTTTAAATGAAGCAAACTGATTTCTGAACTAATGCTTTTAAACTCTTTGGCCAATGCGTGTTGAGTGTCATGCATATGGAGACTGAGAAAAGACCACCAACAGATTTTGAAGTTGAAACCTAAATGTTCATCAGTGGAAGAATGGATAAAGAAAATGCAGTACATAAATACAGCGAATATCACTCAGCCTTATAAAAGAAGGGGTTGCTGTTATATGCAGCAACATGGATGAACCTTGAGAACGTTATGCTAAGTTAAATAAGCCAGTCACAGAAGGATAAATACTGCATGATCCCATTGAACAAGGTGTCTAAAATTGCCAATCTATAATGATATGGCCACGGGGTGGGGGAGGGAGAAATGTGGAACCGCTTTCAACTGGTATAAAGTTTCAGTGAAGCAGAATGGAAAGTTCTAAAGATCCTTTATGCAACACTGTTATTATAGTCAACCGCACTGTGTTATCCATGTAAAATTTAAGAGGGAAGATCTCAAGTTATGTGTCGTTACAACAATTAAAAACAAAAGTCATTTTTGGGGGCGCCTGGGTGGCGCAGTCGGTTAAGCGTCCGACTTCAGCCAGGTCACGATCTCGCGGTCCGTGAGTTCGAGCCCCGCGTCGGGCTCTGGGCTGATGGCTCAGAGCCTGGAGCCTGTTTCCGATTCTGTGTCTCCCTCTCTCTCTGCCCCTCGCCCATTCATGCTCTGTCTCTCTCTCTGTCCCAAAAATAAATAAACGTTGAAAAAAAAAAAACAAAAAACAAAAGTCATTTTGAATTTTGATAACTTTTGGCAATAATGAAAAACAAGTATTTATGGAAACATAATGCAACTGAGTGAATTTCAGATTTTCAGAGTTAGAATCAAATAATTTCCTTTACAGACACACACTTTTATTCTCCTGAAGGGAGAATAGGATATATATACCTGTTATCAGATGACTTAAAAAATATCACAGAAGGATAGAAGCAATTGGAAAGGAATCCAGGAAACTTAATCCTGGATTCAATCAGTCACTGTGTTGTCTGAGCTAGGTGGGAAAAGACAGAAGCTGATAGAAGGGAATCATCTGAAGGGTCCCTCTTGGATTCTTATATCATCAGTTACTGAAGGGCAGAGCATCAACTCTGCAGAGGTAGATGATAGATAGTTAACAGATAGATGGATGATAGGTAGGTAGACAGATGATAGGTAGATACATGATAGATAACAGATTATAGATAATAGGTACATAGATAGATACATAGATACGTACATAGATACACAGACACATACATACATGAAGGAAGGCATAGCAACCATCAGGCTCCCTAATTGGCCTGAACAGACTGGGGCTGTCAACTCTTTCCACTGCCCCATGCAGTCCCTGTTGCCCCACATTTTTTCTGACCACACAGACAAGATAGAATTATTTTAGCAAATTACTGACAAAGTATAAACGTGTATACTAATGCAAACAAAAGCAACAGTATTACTACCATTTGCTGAGTTTCTTCCTACCGTGCTCCGGTGGCTGAGGTAGGAGCTTGTATATTCAATATTACTGCCAAGATTTTGGGGACGATGAAACGGAAGGAGCATATCTTGACTATGGTTTTGCATAGAGTAATTGCCATTCGGATCTTAAGTCCAAGTTATCTGATTCAGTAGTCTATGGGAATGTCTTCCTAGAAATTTTAGCTAAAAGTTTACAAAAGCTGAATATTCCTGTCACTCAACCTCCAAATTTTAGAGAGTCAATTCTAACCACTTAACCACTTGGATCGCACTTTGGCAGCCAACTATGCCAAAAGAAAGATACATTTAAAATAAACATTTTAAAAAATTTAGATAGTGCATAGTGCATACAAGTATAAATTATGTGCATTCATTTTAAAATTCTGATTATCTTTTTCTCATGGCAGCAGAAAATGTCCTAGGCATTTTGAAATAGACATGTGTCCAAAGGCATCATGTTTGAATCCCATGAA